TCCTCTATACTTTAGAAGCTTCGGTATTTCGGTCTTTTATTTTTATTGTGGTATTTTGTTTGGCTATTACGTAGTCTATTATCGACTTCAGCTTTCCTGTTTCTTGCATCCATGTATCTTCTTCTTCTGGTTCCTATCCGTTTCGGATGTTGGAAATCATATTGGCAATCATAACCTTGCTCGCTGCGGCTCGAAACAGCTCCGTTGAGGTTTTCTTAAACCATGTTCTTAAATTCTGCAGCCATAATATTCTCCTTCTATCGGGTCCTCGCTTACCTTTGACTTTACCTTGCAATATAGACTGTAGCAGGGAGTAACGGTGCTGATTTCTCATAACGTGTCCCAGATATTGCAATTTTATGCATTTGATCGTAAACATAATCTCTGGTTCCTTCTTCATTTTTCCTAGAACTTCCTTGTTCGTGATCCTTGCTGTCCATGATATTCTCAGCATTCTCTCTATAAAGCCACATCTCAAATGCTTCAAGTTTTTTAATAGTGGTGTCTGTAAGCGTCCACGCCTCCGCCCCGTACAACAACTCTATACTTTAGAAGCTTCGGTATTCTGTCCTTTTCTGGTGGTTTCTTTGCCATTAATCATGTCTTTTTTGTGTTATTTGTTTTTCACTTCTCTCTCTCTCTCTCTCTCTCGTCTCTCTCTCTCTCTCTCTCTCTCTCTCTCTATATATATATATATATATATATATATATATATATATTACTATATATATATATATATATATTTATATATATATATATATATATGTATATATATATATTATATATATTAGTATATATATATATATATATAGTATATATATATATATATATATATTTATATATTTATATATGTATAGATATATATGTATATATATATATATATATATATATATATATATATATATATATTCGGTTTTATAACGTCTTACACGTTGTCCGACTCCTAAACGCCACTGTATTCTAGTTTAAGTTAGGTCTTCGTCCAGATTTCGAGCGCTAATCGCTTTCCTAACTCCCAGGTTCCAGCTCTGTGGTGATCTTCTCGTTTCCTCTTCTCTGGAGTTTTCCACATCATCGTTTTTTAGGCAATCTTTCGTCTCCCATTCGGCTCACATGCCCATACCATATGAGCTGTTTTCCCTCAATATCCTCAACTATAGTACCCTCTATACCCATTTTTTGTTTTATCACTTCATTCCGTATTCTGTCGGCACTTGATGTTTTCATCGATTTTCTGATGGCATCCATTTCCGTGGCTTCGACCTTTTTCTTATATTTCTTGGTTATTCTCCATGTCTCAGCTCCGTAAAGTAGGCTAGTTTTAACCATTGTCTCATAGATGTTCCATTTTCTTTTCTTTGATATTTCTTTACTCCATAGAACTCCGTTGCTATATCCTATTTATGCTATAGCTCTTCGTGCTTGTACAATTCGATGTTCTATTTCTCGTTCGTCTTTTCCACTACGGTCGAAGATGACGCCCAGGTATTTATATTCGTCACATGGATTTATTTTTTGATTGTCATCGATATCGAATTGTTCTGCTTCAGCTCCAATGTCCAACTTCTCTATATTTTTGTCTATATTATTTATAAAGTTCATCGTTGTTTTCAGTCAGCTATTTTCTGTATAGTTGCTTTTTTTCTTCAATTATTTTTTTTGTTAGTTCATTTATTTCATAATAGTGCTATTTATTTGTTATAATATGTTCGCTCTCTTTAAGGTCTTCGAATGCTGCTTTTTTACTAGCCTTTATATGCTCGTATATCTCTACGATGTTGTTGTATCTTCCTTTTCTTCTTCGTGCGACTAGGATTACTCCTGTTGGTCTGCCTCTTATTCTGTTTCAGTCGTTGGTGACTGTACATTATCTTTCCACGTTTTTGGCGGCCTTCCAATGGGTCTTCTGCTATACAGTTTGTTGTTTTTACAGACGTTCGCTAATCTATCTGGTCCCATTCGGTTTACATGTTCGTTCCAGTTTTTTTCTTGTTTTTATCCACCTATTCTTATTTTTAACAACATAATAAAGGGGTAATAGCAATTAAAACCTCACGCTTGCTTTGCGTGTTGACGAGTTTTTAGTTCAGCCGCCCATTATGGGTACAGACGCTGTTGACAACCGCCCAATATGGGTCAGGCGCTCTCGGTTTGATTTTATACCATCTCTAAAATCCAGGGATGCCACTTCCGCCATCGATGTCGTACCGAAGGACATTGTTGGAGTCGCTGAGGTCAGAAGGAAAGGATAAAGTCTAACCACTTTAAAATCCGGTCACATTTTCTATCATGTCGGAGAAAACGATGGGAATGGAGGCATTGGGCTCTTTATTAATAAAAAACTAGCTGAGAATATCATATCAGTAAAAGCAGTTTCCACAAGAGTTATACTTGCAAAATTACAACTAAACACCCGTTACTTCATAAGGATCATTCAAGTCTATGCACCAACATCGAGTCACGCTGACAAAGAAATAGAACAGTTCTATTATGACTTGTACACAGCTGTTTCAGAAGACCAAGAACATTTTACGGTAATATGGTGCGACTTTAATGCCAAAATTGGAATAAGCACTGACCCAGCTGAAAATGCCCTCGAAAATTTTGGCACACCAAAACAATCTATATTTAATGAATAGCTTCTTCTATAAGAAGATCTATAGAAGATGGACTTAGAAGATAGATAGATAGATAGATAGATAGATAGATGGTTTATTGGTAATAAATTAATACATAAGTATTTTTTACAAGTCAAATAAAATAAAGTAAATGTCAATATAGTTAATAGGCACACATAAATATAAACACAAAACATAGATACATTGTTTTAAATTATACTGTTAACAATTACAACAAATTAAAATTGGAAGTAAAATACTCCTCATAATTATGTAAAAAAAAGCATTCACTATAAGGTTAACTCTATTTTTTGCCTTAAACTGATGAAAATTAAGAGCCTTTATTCTAGCTGGCACTAAGTTGTAGAATTTTATGGCTAAATACCTTGAACCATTTCTGGATCTCTCAAGACGGCTAAATTCTGGTATAAGATTATTGTTAAATCTGGTGGGATAATTATGAAAATCTACATGCGCATTGTGTTGGCTAAGATTTTGTTTAATGTGCAACAGACACTGCATAATGTATACACAAGGTAAAGTTAACATTTTTAAAATTCTAAAGGAGTTTCTACAGTCTGCTCTATAAGAGAGCCCAGAGATAATACGAACACACTTTCTTTGTTGTGCAAACACTTTATCGATATGACAATTAAAAAATTTAAAATTATACTATAAAAAACTTTTAACCGGTGCGTTCTACCAGTCCTCACATACGGAGCAGAAAACTCTCACAAAAACATCAGCCGAAAAATTAAGAAGGACACAACGAAAGATGGAGAGATCAATGCTTGGAATAAGCTTAAGAAATAGAATAAGAAACGAGATTGTTCGTAGACGAACCGGAGTGGAAGACATTATCGAACATATTACAAGGCAAAAATGGAGATGGGCAGGACATGTTGCAAAAATGAAAGACGACAGTAGGACAAAAAAATTGCTTGAGTGGAGACCACGGGCTGACAAGCGAAGCCGAGGAAGACCCCCAACGCGATGGACCGACGACCTCAAAAGAATCGTGACCAATTGGATAGCAGGGACGCAGAACAGAAGCAGATGGAAAAGTCTAGAGGAGGCCTTGTTTAACAATGGACAACTCAGGGCTGATTGATGATGATGATGATGTTCTTATTTTTATTTTTGCATTGTTCGCGTATAATTCTGTTGGTTTGTCTGTCTCTTAATGTTAATGATATGACCGCTATTGATGTTAATACTTTCATTTCGATATTGTTGATTTGTTGTTTCTTCTTTCTTGTATCGGTTCTTGTTTTCGCTGCATATGTTAGGATTGGTCTTACTATTGTCTGTATACTCTCATTTTGCTTTCCGTGGTCAGATATTTGTTTCTCCATATGGTTTCTCGGAGGCAACCACTTACTTTTGCCGCTTTTGATTTGATGTTGTTATATCTAAACTCTATTAATTTTTGGTCTAAAAGTTGTTTGTATAGTTCTTCTATTGATTGTTCTTGAAGTAGTTCTATATTGTATTGTTTTTCTCTTATAGTGTTCAACGGTTCCTCTGTAGAGGGGGTCTTGTTATGTTTCCAATTAATGCCCATTTTTGCTGTCAGCAGTTTATGGTCAGTTCCACATTCTGCTCCTCTTCTTACTCTCACATCTTTTATTTTTATTGTGGTATTTTGTTTGGCTATTACGTAGTCTATTATCGACTTCAGCTTTCCTGTTTCTTGCATCCATGTATCTTCTTCTTCTGGTTCCTATCCGTTTCGGATGTTGGAAATCATATTGGCAATCATAACCTTGCTCGCTGCGGCTCGAAACAGCTCCGTTGAAGTTTTCTTAAACCATGTTCTTAAATTCTGCAGCCATAATATTCTCCTTCTATCGGGTCCTCGCTTATCTTTGACTTTACCTTGCAATATAGACTGTAGCAAGGGAGTAACGGTGCTGATTTCTCAAAACGTGTCCCATATATTGCAATTTTATGCGTTTGATCGTAAACATAATCTCTGGTTCCTTCTTTATTTTTCCTAGAACTTCCTTGTTCGTGATCCTTGCTGTCCATGATATTCTCAGCATTCTTCTATAAAGCCACATCTCAAATGCTTCAAGTTTTTTAATAGTGGTGTCTGTAAGCTCCGCCCCGTACAACAACACAGAGAAAACATAGCATCTCAAATGTCTCATTCTCAGATTAGCGTCTTTATTTATGTTATTTTATAATTACTTCTGTTGACGGGAAATTTGATTTCACTGTAAGAGCTTCTGTACCAATCGCTCTGAAATCAAATCTTAAGTGTCTTTTATTTCTTTATACTTATATATTATATAATATACTATATAATATACTTTAATTATTAATTATTTCTTTATTTTTCAATTACAATTTTTATACATAGATTTTTCTATTATTAAGGAAAACATGAAAGGATGGCAAGGCAAAATTGCTATAGTAACAGGAGCCAGTTCTGGTATTGGTGCAGGGATAGTAGAAAAATTGGTTGAAGAAGGATTAACTGTAAGTATTAATTTATAGATTATATTATTGACATAAACTGGTGTAGTCATGTAAACATATTAATATTATCACACAATTTATTTCAGAACAATGTACAACTATACAATATTATTTTATGTCCACGTTTCTGTCTTATCGTTCTTCTGATAGGTATCGATTTAATTCGTCGTCAAGGCGCACCCTTTTCTTGTATAGTGTCAAAATTTTTAGATTATCCTTGTTACTAGAGAACCCAGAAGAAGATCTATTACCTCGTTACTCCAAGTTGAAGATCTTATTTTTCTATTTTTTATATAATTCTGTGAGTTTTTTCTGTTTCTTGTTTTAAGGAACGGCCCCAATCTGATAAATCTAAAGCTTCCAACTTGTGGCGTGGATCAATTACTAGAGAACTACTCTAACACCCAATTGGTTTTATTGTAGTATTTGATAATCTTATTTTTTGCTGATATTACAGAGTTTTTCAAATTTAATTCCTCGTCATTGTTGTGGTCAGTGTTAATTCATAATATTTATGTCGACGTAGTAGAGTAATAAATTTATAAACATGACTACACTGGGAGGCGTGATATACTTTACACCTCCTAGGAGCTCTGTAACTTTTTGCATTTTATTAAAACACCTTCTATTGGTCCTAGTAAATCCTGTTCTGCTTCTCGGATTCTAAATGGTATTAATTATAAATAACTGACAGAGTAGTAAGTAAGGGAAAGGAATATTCTTTTCTTTATTACGTTTACGATTATATTTAACAGTATTATCATCTGTTGGTGATGCCATAATGTCGGGTGGCGGTTTACTAAGAAGAAATAATCCAAAACACTTTTGTACATACGGAGCATGCATCGCAGTAAATCAAAAATTATTGTCAAAAATATATTAAAATGTTCTGTTAATCTAAATGAATTAATTTTATTTTATCAATATTAATTATTAAAACAAAAACCTTAAATGTCTATGAATATTTTTACGTTGCAAACATAATGCAGATACTTGTATAACTTCAATTACCAAATAATTCCGATTACGCTAAAGTCCCGCTTGCATCTCTAACTGTAACACAAGGTCTCCAAAACTATAGTTTAACGTTTTCATTTAACTAACCAGTTCAGGTAAAACTTAACGTCTGCATTAAAAACACGCTACTTATCAATAACAAATATCCAGCATTCTTGGACGTGACTTTACATAGAAAGTGAGCACAAGTAAATTGCTGAGAAGTTATTGCTGTGGATTCACATGGAGAGCATCAATATGCGTATTGAGACCAATTTTTAATGTCATATGAAATGCTCAACTTCACCCATTTCCATACCATCAGAGACATTGCTTGAGTCGTTATCAAACTTCCGTTATTCAAAATTCGTTCAAATACAGAATAGAGAACTATCAATACACAATTATATTGAAGACAACAAGAAAATTCTACTTTTGCTCTAGAAAACCTCCAATTAAAAAAAAAATCCAACAAAATAGCGCCTTTCTTTAACGTACCACGCAGAATAGGTGCATATTAAATGACATCGATTGCGACAAACCCATTAATAAACCGTAGAAGAATATCTCACAAAATTTAATAATCATATTATATGTGATATATGCTGAATAAATAAATAATCTGTTAAGTATTAAAAGATGCCAAATTTTCCATAAATCCGTGAAATATATTCAAGATGATTCAAAAAGGATTATAAATTAATTAGGCGCCTTAAAAAACGAAATTAAAAATTTTGATAATGTATAAATTTGATAATATAAACAGTTTTCAAGTCTATTGATCTGGACAAATATCATTGATTTTTTCCTATCCAATTAATTATGAGACACTGTGTAGATCTGAATATTATTTGGATGTAGATATAGAACAGGGAACCAACTGCCAAATTTTGAAATATTAGTTTCTGTCGTTAAATAGATTTACACAAAATCCCTTTACACAATAAATCCCTAGCGCCATCTATTGACGAAAGGTCCATGTTCTTGTACAGTTTCACGAAATAGTAATTTTAAAACAAAGATCCACAGTTTTTAGACCACGCTTTAGTGATTTCGAAATAATCTGAAAGTTCATAAGAATGTCGCGTGGAAAACAAATATTTAATCTTTTAAAAGTCTCTGAAGTATTTCCAGGACCATGCAATGCACATAATAACAGCAGGTTCTTCTTAAGGTGCCTTCTCCATAACTGCAGCAAATTGCTCCCTATCTTTAGCTATTCTTAATATCGAATGTGTGTTCATGCCTGTCCAGTCTCTTACATTCTTCAACCAGCAGCATTGTCTTCTTCCTGAACCTCTTCTTCCTTCCACTTTCCCTTCCATTATAAGCCGTAGGAAGTTGTATTTTTCTTCTCTGTGAATATGTCCTAGATAACTCGTTTTTTTTATTTTCTTTTGCCTTTATTAATACCTGTTTGTAGCATTTAATATTGTTTTTATAAAATTGTCAATAAAATCGTTTTATTAAATTGTTTTTATAAAACAGTTCTTGTGTTTCCTGAAACCCACTAGTTACTAATTTATCAATAGAAATATTTTATGTTTCTTTATAAAAAAAAAATATTTATATTTATACATGTAACCAAGTGACATGGTTCTTTTTAAAATTGTATAAAAATATTGAAATTAATTTTTTTAAAAAGGATCCAAGTGGCATATTTATTTCATGAATGATATTTTTTAAACTACTTTCAAACAACAGTATATGTTACGAATATTTATTATTTGTATAAAATGTATTTAGTTAATTTTTAGTTCTATAATTGAAATAATGAAACTAACCTTTGGTCAATAAATTCCTTTCTTTAAATATAGATAAGCCTTTTATCGACAATGTTGCCCCTTTAACTTCAACACTTGGTAAGCCTCTGCCAACTTATAACGATAAAAGTTCAGGTATATTATATAAAGAAGAAATCCTGGGGATCTCCCTGTTTTAAATGACAATCCACATGATTAGCCTGTTTTTATTAGTAGTTTTGAAAGATCTACTGAGCTATATCAAGTAGATAATCATGAGAATTTATTAAGATTACAAAAATGTTTAAAAGGTCCAGCAAGAGTCAGTGTTTCAAATTTTTTAATTTTACCTCAATGTGTGCCCCAAATTATAGCTACATTAAAAACCCTTTTTGGAAGATCTGAGCAAATTATTGAAGCTTATATAAATTCTATTCGTAAATTACCATCTACTAAACCGGAAAAACTTGAAACTCTGGTAGAATTTGCTTTAGCAGTTAAAAATTTATATGTTTTATTGGAAGCATCTAATTTAAAAGACTACATTAATAACCCTACCCTTATGCATGAATTATTAGAGAAACTACCTTTACAAATTAAAGTTAATTGGGCGATATATCGCAGTGCTTTTCATAAATTTCAGGGATTAAGTGAACTTGCTGATTGGTTGTATAATCTAGCAACAAATGTTTGTTCTGTTCTTCCTACACTAGCACTTAATGACCAAAGTAATAACAAAAGACAAGTTAATAATAATGCGCATGCTAGTTTACATGAACCAAATGCCTCCAGTGAAACACATAATTGTAAACTGTGTAATCAGAGAGATTGTAAAAAGATTGCAGGTTGTTCAGAATTTCAGAGATATTCATTATCTCAAAGATGGGAGTCTGTTAAAACGTTAAATTTATGTAGGCTTTGCTTAAAGAAACACAGATTTCCCTGTAGGTATCCTGTAAAATGAAACAAAGAAGAATGGCAAAAGGAAGCATCATCCTCTTCTTCATAAATTTTCAGAACAAGTATCTAATAAAAGTACAAAGCTATATCAAAAAGGAAAACGGTATGCAAACAGTAGAATCACACCTCTTATCTGCAGATGAAGAAAGTAAAGGCACATCAAGGAACACACTTTCGAATACTTCCCGTTGATTTAAGAAATGGAAGTAGAGACGTCACTACATTTGCCTTTCTAGATGAAGGTTCTTCCGTTACTTTGTTAGAAGAAAATATTGCTAAAAAGCTAAATATAATGAGAGAGCCAGAACAACTTTGCTTAAAATGGACTGGAAACCATCAACGCTTAGAAGATGCGTCAGAAAAAGTATTGTTTGCTATTTCTGGTGATTATAATGCGGCCAAAGAATTTGACCACCGACCAGCCAGAACGGTAAGAAAATTAGGTCTTCCAAAACAAACTCTAGATGCAGAGTTTAGGCGATTAAAAAGAGCTTTCCCTATTTAAAAAACTTGCCTTTCAAATCATATAAGAACGCTGTTCCTCAGATCTTGATAGGCTTAGATAACTGGGACTTAGCGTTACCACTTCGGGTGAAAGAAGGTCTAGAACTTCAAACCGATGTCCAGGTTAGGTTGGACTATTTTTGCAATGTTTTCAAATAATGATGTAGAATTAATCTACACTTACCACATTTGCGAATGTAGTTCTGAAAAGCATTACTAACCAAGAACTCTTTAATACTGTAAAAGACTTCTTTTCAGTTGAAAGCCTCGGAGTTCAAAATAATAAACCGTCTGTTTCCAAAGAATTAGATAGGGCTATTCGTATACAAAAAGCACCCTAGTTCAAATTGGTAACCAATATAAAATTGGATTACTCTGGAAATATGACAACTTGAAACTCCCTAATAGTAAACCCATGGCTATATAACCAATGAACAGTTTCAAAAATGGCTTGTTTGGTTAAAACAGCTTCCAGAAATAGAGAAGGTTCAATTCCAAGGTACTTTTATTAATAACTTGAAAACTGGAAGGATACCAATACGCAAATTGCACATATTTGTAGATGCCAGCGAACACGCAAGTGCTTGTTACGACTGAACTTAATGGTGCAGTAATGGGTTCAAGGTTTGCTAAAAAACCTTTGTCAACATCTTTCCATACCTGTGCACAACATTGTTTATTGGACAGATTCTTCAACAGTTTTAAGCTGGTTAAGAAATGAAGACCCAAGAAAATTACCAAAATATGTACCTTACAGAGTGGCCGAAATTCAACAAAACTCAATGGTATCACATTGGA